CCATGCTTTTGCAAATGGTAAGATTTCATTTTTTTTTTTGTGGCCAAATAATATTCAATTATTTATATACATATCATAACTTGTATGTATGTATGTGTGTATATACACACACACACACACATATATATATATATATATACACATACATATATATATTACTTCTTCAATATGTTGTTTATTAACATCATTCTACATATTTCCACAAATATGCATTTGTTAAAAGGAATATAATGGTGCCTTACAAATACTACAACAAACTTGCTTCATTGTGCAGCAATGTCACAAACAGCCTTGTGTGTCCCTAAACTACAAGAGTTGCTACACTCAGTTGCGGGGAGAGGAACACACACAGAAATTAAGTGAAGTACGGACTAAGCTCTGAGACTTGTACAAATCTCCTCATGGTCTCCAGTGGATAATCTGAATGTCTTACAGTCACTGGCCTTCAGTCCTACTCACCCTACATTCCTTCCATCTCACAGCAATTGCTGACCATCCAGGAAGAGTTAAACAACAAAAAGTCAGAACTGGAACAAGCAAAGGAAGAGCAGTCGCACACACAGGCGTTACTCAAAGTCCTCCAGGAGCAAGTAAGTGGCCGCAGCAGCTCTGCCTGGGGACGGGTTCAGACATGGACACGCATCCCCTGGGCGCTGGGTGCGCAAGCGTGACGGAAGTGAACCTGCGGTGCAATTAGCCTGACCCTGCCCGGCCAGCCTCCCAGGGCTTTGCTCTGTGGAATTTATCATCTCATTCCCAGCACCTCTGTTGTCACTCGTGGGTTCCTATTTAGATTATCGTAGCCCACCAGCGATGTGGGAGAGTTTCTTCCAGAAGATAAATGAATTTTGGTAAAGTTTTAAAATATTGGCAGTGCAGATATATTTCCTAGCAAGCAGCTAGTTTCCTCTTAAGTCTAATAGTGAGGAAAATGAGTTTAGCATACCCCTGGCACGCCTGCAGACATGTGCATAAGAAGGACTGATTCATGGCAACATTAAAGAAATACCTTCCCCGTGTACCAGGCCACCGATCTCACCACGGTGAGCAGCAAACCTTTTATATGAAGTTTGTAAATCTGATCGTTTCATCCTGGCTTCCTGTGATAGCAAAGTGTGGCCTGACAGTGATAAGTGGATTTGAAAGTGCAGTCTTACAGCCGGGTAAGATGGATGGCTCGGCACAGAGTGAGTAGCCCAGCAT